ATACATAGGAATAGGATACTTTTTAAAGCGGGAAAATGTCTCATTTCTGAGAAAAAATACAAAAATTGCAATATATGAGTATACTAATATGTAAAACCTAAGAATTTCGTTTTTGATCATCTGAACGCGGGCGGAGCCGCGGGCAATGCTGGTAATATCTAATAATAATAATAATCTAAGTTATTATAACTAAAATAACGTCACAAAAGTGTAGCGTTTGTGGAGTCGGGAATCGTGCGTATTTTTTACTTACCTGCGGAACCAATTTTTGGAAAATTAATTTGAGTAATCCATATCACTAATACTAAAATTAAAATATGAATCCCGATTCCGAATAACATATTATAATAGCACCCGCAAAAACGGAGTAAACATTCTTATTTTTATTTGTCTTTGCATATCACAACCAGATTGGGGGTGTCAGAACTCAGAACAGATCATAATTTCAGAATTTATTAAAATCGGTTAAACCAAAATAAAGTAACATTTTAATCATTGATAATTTTTTGCGTTTTAGTAAGTATTACTGTAAAAAAAACTAAAGCCACAACAACAAAATGGCAGGCTAAAAAACAACTTGCTATTAAAAATATACAATCGCAATATAATAACATACCTACCTACCTAATAGCATCAATTAAATTGAGTTTCAGTGAACTCAATTAAATGTTTAGCTGTTTTTCTAACAAGTTTGTTTTTTACTTAAGCATTAAACTTTTAATTAATATGACAATTTCTAGCAGCACGTTCTACCGATTTAAAACATTCATAATCATTTTGTGCAGCATGGCTAGATTTCGAAGCGTTATTCAACTAGCACGCACTGTCTTAATATTGGCAAAAAAATGATACTAGCAGTACTTATAACTTCAATGTCTGTCTGTCTGTCCTATAGGGAAATTGAGTAAAAGCGTATATGTACATACATACATTCCTTTAACTGTATGTATGTACATATAACTATTGACATTATGTTTATGTACATACATACATTCCTTTAACTGTATGTATGTACATAAACATAATGTCAATAGTTATTTGTCCAAAATGTAATGGTAGTTACAATTTCAGTTCACCACTTATTCTCTATTGTATTGTACACGGTAACGATCATGCAAATCCCACGAATACTAAAAATATACCCTTTGTCTGGCAATCTCAAGAAATCTCATACATTGTCTAACAAAAGGACTCTATACATTGTTCTATGATATATAGCGTCGTTATTTTCTTTAAAGAAAATGTTTACTTCAGACAAAACAGTTTGTATTGGAACCTTGACCGAACACAATATTGGCTTAGCTCATGGTTTTCAAGAATTTGTCTTCTTACTAAAATTAATAAGTTAAAGTACAGTTTTATTTGACTTCTAGGCACAGTTGAAATGTTAGTAATAAGAGTACCAGCTTAATAAGGCTTAAAAAATTACTATCGAGAAAACTTTAAAGCAAAACTTAAATCAGGTGAAATTAGTACATAGTAAAAAAACATTTCTAAAAACAAGGTTTTATTTAAATCCTCTAGAAAGAAGAAAATAAACTTTAAATTAACTTAAACCCAACAATTTCTTACATTACACAATTTAAAACTAATCTTAATACTATGTCCTTCTCAGGGTCAGACTCAGAGGTCAAACTATCTCTTTACTAAATTTCATCTAAATCGACCAGTAGTTCCGGAGCTTAGTCGCTACAAACAAACAAAAAAATCATTCCTCTTTATAATATTAGTATTTACTATTTAGTATACCTAGATAAAAGCGGGTCAAATTTTACGTGCAAGATTCCATTACACAGACCTAGACCGGTGAAACTCAATAAAAGCTTAAAAATATTAGAGGCTGAGTGATATGTGAAGTAGTCAGAATTATATTTCATATCATTTCTTTTTTACTTTCAGTCTTGTATTAAAGATAATTTATAGGAGGGTAAACGCGCCAGAACAAGCGCATCTACGAGTGGTCACGTACGATTAGGAAAACAGTGGGCACAAGGAAGAAAGAATTTGAGATATTGATAGTAATTATTTGTACCGATATCCTTTGTAGAATGTACATTTCATAAATAGTTGTTTTGACCATAGTTTTAGTAATAAAAATTAAAAACAAAGACCACTTATAATAAACATATATTATATAGGATTTAATGCAGATTTTTTCCTGTAGGTTTGAGCAACTCTGGATGACCTAAGACAGCTCATATTGCTAATTGATTACTTTACACTAATACTTTTATTTTACCTCCGAAAATTCTATATCATAGACTGTATTATAAGCTTATTATTAAGGAGCTTTGCTTCTTTTGCATATACATATATATTTATATCTCGGAGAATGAACGTATTAAGCTATCTCCAGTACATAAACTGCTATGGGACATTACCATTATAAATTATTTATTAAAAAACTAACTGACTAGCGTTAAACGATGCGTTTTTACGGTTAGTATGGAATAGATACACTATTTGGGAAAACACCTAAATATTAATATATGTAATATTTAATTTAATACGTAACGTATTTTCCCGTTGGAATGAGATAATCTCCCGCGGCAAAAAGTAGCCTATGTCACTCTCCAGCCCTGCAACTATCTCTAAATTCCTACAAAAAGCACGCCAATCCGTCACTCTGTTTCGATTTGGAAGAAGGACAAACAAACACACTCACTTTTATAATATTACAAATATTAGGTATATAGATATAGCTAGTCTCATCAAGTACGGGTAATTGGTGGGATAAATTTCGTAAGAAAGTATATACATACATATATTAAAAACGTCCCTGCTTAATATTCATAGCCATGAGTCAGCCACATAAGATAGCAGCGGAGCGTGACTGATAAACTTTATGACCGTTAAACCAGCAACATTTGTACTGAACGACCAGTTAACTCTAATAGTATTGGCATTGATTAAGTAATACATTAAGCATCTATCTACGTAACTTTTTCTAATAAATAGTTATCCCACGGGATTAGAAAACACTCTCTATGTAAAAGTCATAATATACAAGATGGATCTTTGAGACGGGACAGTAAGGGCAGGTACCTTAACTGCTATAGTTCAGGAAAACGTTCCTAGGAGACCATCGATAGCTTTTTGAGATATTTTGAACTGCATTCACAAATTTTGAAAAAATGTACAGTTAGCGAAAAAAATGTTGAAATACCAAAAAAAAAAGTTGTACACATGTATATAAATAAAAATTTTTTTTAGGTGTTTTAACATTTTTTTACTGCCCTTACTGTCCCGTCTCAAAAATCCACCTTGTATATCGGAATCCATTGTTGTGCGAAAATTGCCAAAATAATTACACTCCTAGATGATAGATCAACAGTTTTAACTATGTATTCAGCCCTTTTTATGGCGGACTTCACAATATGTCTTTCTAAAACTTGCTAGGTTCACTCAGACATGCAGGTTGTTAACGATGTATTCTTCCACGGTAAGGCAAGTCGTAATCATGTTGGTATGTATTTGTTTTATTTAAATGGTTCATAAATATAAAAATTATGCCAATTTAAAGTATTACCTAGGGACGAACCCGAGCGCAGCGAGAGTGAGTCGCTAGTATTAAATATAACTCACTATTTAGTATGTGTTTTAAACGATTCCTACATAATAAACAGAATTGTTCTCACTATTACTTGTGAAAATATAAAAAAACCACAACACTTCATATATTATATTATTCCTATAATTATTTTATAATTAAATAATAATTATAGAATAAAAAAACAAGTACCTAATCAATACAAGTAATTATATGAAACCTTGGAGATTTTTTATGGTGTTTTTCAATGTAAAGTTTATAGCAATTTATTACTTATTTTATGTAACATTGATTTAAAAAGCTTATGCCAAAAGTTCACTGACCTTGCCCTACAAGAAATCGATTAAGGGCTTGGCTTGTTATAGCGAAAACATCTGATGACTAAATATTTCCGAGCCAAAATGAGCTTACGGCGTTCAAACAAAAACAAATAAGCGAAGCTATGAAAGAATAAAGGTTATGAAGATATATTGATGATAAGAATTTATTTGAAAACTTTTTCGTTGGACCTGTCAGACGTTAGATTTATTTAAATATGAATTTTTACTACCAATAAATGTAATATTTAAAGTTACGATCTAAGAGTAATTCCAACCTTTTATTAGCACGACTAATCTATACATATAATAAAATTGTAACTAAGCCGAATCTGTACATTAAATATTTTTAGGAAAATCTTATTGCAATAGACATTATTATCGATACAGAGGCCGAATCTATAATTTGTAGAATTTTTGTCTGTCTGTCTGTTACCGCATCACGGAAAAAACCACTGGAGGGATTTTAATGAAATATGATATAATGTTAGCTGGTTATCCGGGGCAACATATAGGATAGTTTTTACTATGGGAAAAGTGTCTAGTGGTTTTCTCGTGATGCGGTCAGACAGACAAAAATTATAAAAACTATAAATTCGGCCTCTGTATCGATAATAATGACTATTTCAATAGATTTTCCAAAACATATTTAATGTACAAATTCGGCTTAGTTACAGTTACAATTATGTACAGATATGTATATATACTACATAAGGACGACCCGAGCGAAGAGAGTGAGGTGAGTCGCTAGTTACAAATAATTTAGGTGCTTTAATATATATGAAAACTTTAATTAGTTTTAAATCCTTTTTCTTAAACTCAATATTCATTATTTCGACCGACCTTGTAAGAAAAATGTTAGTGACCAAATCTGCTAAAGCTTAGCATAAAATACATAATATTGTTTACGAACACTTTGTTCCATGTTTAAGTTTCCGTTACATATTCCATCCTATCAATATCGTACTTGATCTAGTTTTTTATACGCTCTGTTAATCACATCTGATCATCCTTGAGATTTCGAGACCTTTATTACAACGTAGTAGAGTCTAAATTACCGCTTTAATATCTAAACTATTTACAGACGAAACTTTAGATTTTTAATATACACGCATATATAGGTCAAAACTTACCTCTTCCACAGATTTTTTGGAGAACTCGTTCATAGATACAATCCATTGCTGCACAAGTTCATTCACAATAACAAGATCATTATATAACCACGTCAATAACTCGTTTACCCACTGGACGCTGGGAGCATCAGCACCTGTACAGGTAGGGATTATGATACTTTGGTGTTTCTTCAACGATAACTGTTCAGGGCCTGGGGACATACGCCCTAATCTTTTCTTATTAACAGGCGGCGTTGCAGGCACGAAACCAGTTGGTTTCGTTGGTTTGAAAGACCCGCTCTTAATTTTAGCGCTAGTAGCCAATACGCTATCCGCACTTGTAATTATTTCGTTCGCTGTTTTCTTCGTGTCTTCGGTCGGCTTCGGCTTTTCGACCTTCTCCTCTACGGCTTTTGTACTGAACCTCCCGTACGCCCATTTTGCAATCCCAAGGATGACAATGGAAAAGAGGATCCATATGAAAATAAGCATCACTAGATTGTCCATTGCTGTGTCCATATAGTCAAAACTACATATGAGGTCGTCAACCGCTTCGGCTAGGTCAGCCATAGTTTTCCATGGTGTTTGCCACCATGGGGCGTGGGCTCCCGCCGCCTCACTCTTCTGTACTGAATCTGAGCCCGACATTTTTTCTCTATTTCTGATCGTACTATTTTTGGACGCAGCTCTCTGTCTTTTTCCCGCGCTATCCCTTTCTTAAAGACGCGTTCAAATTTGCATATCGTATACTCTTCACATTAATTTGTTTCTAATTATTAGGCATCATGTTTCATAAATGAACACATTGTTAAGGTACGGCTTTCTTAATGGTTTCTTAAATTATTTACAGTTCGATCGTTCGTATTAAGTCGTGGTATCAAATAGTCTTTCTCGTGGTTTGAAATTTATCTTTATATACCATCGTCACCGAAATTCTGTAACAAAAAAAATAAAAGGTAAGTTTATTTGCATTGTATTTATCATTAAACTAGCGACTCACCCTCGTTCCGCTCGGGTTCGTCCCTAATTACGGTTTAACGTTTAGTATATATTTCTCAGAGATGAGATATTTTCCCGCAGTAAAAGTATCTCGGATAACCAGCTACCATCATATCAAATTTTATCAAAATCTGTCCAGTGCTTTTCTTGCGTTGCGTTGCGTTGCGTTCCCAGATAGACAGACAGACAAAAATGCTAAAAACTATAGATTCAGCCACTGTATCGATAATAATTACTAAATCAATAAGATTTTCCAAAAAATATTTAATGTACAGATTCGACTTAGTTAGAATTTTATTATACATATATATAGATTAAATTAACATAAGGAATATTTTCTTATCATTTCTGAGGTGATAAGTGTTACAGCGGAAATCACATATTTTAAAAGTACACAATTAAAAGTTTTTATATTCATTTATTTACATATGAAAAAAACAAAAAAATACATTATATGAAACAGAAAACAGGTACCTTGTGTACAAAGACTGACTTATCACTTCAAGAGAGATCTATCAGAAACCTTCTAGCGTGAGAAAAATTTTTAATAACAATGATATAACTTTCTATTTTAAAAGTTTATATAATACAGTTTTTACCTTTTAAAACCTTAGTAAAATTATCATTAAATTCATTTAGTTAACTACTATAGTGTTCTAGAAATATATATCTATTAAATCGATAACAAAAATGATAACCAATTGGTAAATGTTTACAAATTACAACCTAACCCTTTACTAATCAAAGAACTATTTCCAATACATAGAATAAGTACCTACAAATACATATTTGTGAATCAGTCACATTCTCTTCATTAATTTCTTTGCTAACCTAATTTGATTCGAACGTGAGTTCGAAAATTTATAATCTTTACCGATCGACCTTTTACTTTTGAAATGACGTCACTTATACAACAGCCTGACCTTTACAGAATCTAGATTATTAAGACCTAGATAGTAAAGTAACTCACAAATAACTTTTTCATGACAAATAAGTACATACTTTATTAACAACTAGCGACTTGCCCTCGTTTTCCTCGGGTTCGTCCCTAAGCACGTTTTAACGGTTAGTGTGGATATCCCACGGAAACCGTACATTTTTCCGGGATAAAAAGTAGCCTATGTGTTATTCCAAACTATAATATCTATCTCTGTGCCAAATTTCATCCAGATCCGTTCAGCTGTTCTGGCGTGATTAAGAAACAAACATCCATCCATCCAAACTTTCGCATTTATAATAGTTGTAACATGGGATGACAAATCGTATAGGGGTTGTTACTTTCAAAATCGTACTACTATTATAGTTGCGATAGGTATATGTGTGTGTCTCTGTGTGGGTGTGTAAAACTCCTTCAGGCTAAAACGGCTGAATAAATTTAGATAAAATCGAACTAGATACATAGGCTATTTAGTGAGCAGCGAAGTTCGCTTCGCTAAAGTCGCTAGTAAGTTATAATATAATTATAAAAAAACAATATTGCAATAAAGAAACCTTCTTTAAAATATAAATGCATAGAATGGTGTATCATAAAATTTTAAAGCGTCATAAAATTCAGTCGGACGCCGAATGTGTGCAATAACGCTTGGTTCTCAGTTGTTCTTATAAATCGATATTTCAAGAACATCTGTAGCATGTTTTTAATTGCAAAGGATGGGAAAAGAGGTGAATTATCTATAAAAAAAAATAAAGTACTAAATTTCACTATTTGTAATAAAAAATACATTTACACTGATAGAAGACAAAAATGGATAAATAAAGTATTTAATACTCCATGAGTCTCTTATAATCGATTAATATATATAAATTATAAACTTTTATTTCTACCCTCGAATGAAACCTATGAAAGGTTCTTCTTTTTTTTTAATATTACATTGGAAACCATTTTGATTATCCGGTTCCTAAACTTTTCTGCCCAATCACTGTACTGTCATCGGATAAAAATATACACTTGCCAGAGTCAAGTCAACGTACTACAGAAACAGTTAAAAATTGCCTTACTTTTGTTTAGATACCAACTATTTACTACCAAATTTATTGCTTTTTTTCGGCTTTTCTCGAAAAAAAATGTATAAATATTTCCTTTATTTGACTGACTTCAAAGAAGAGGAGGTGTGATCACTTTTATCTTCGCCCATTGTTAAACAATTTTCATAATTCATTTTTTAAGGAATATGATTAGGTATAAATACCTTATGGGGTAAAAATGTTCACCCGTAATTAGGTGTGCTTTTTTTTAGCAAAATTTTATTATTTTGAAGTCGCTTATGCAAGAAAATCTACAATGACTCCTTCCTATAGGTAATATTAGCAGGTCTAACTATAACTTGTGATGTAACAATAAAAGAAAACAATATATTTATGATATTAAGATGTATAGAAAGATAAGTGTGTATAAATAAGTTATCTTATACTTATATTATACTAGCAGAACCCGCGAAGAAAAAATTCTAAAGGTAGGTTTTATACAAACTTTAATCCTCTATTGTACCCCCCATGAACGAATTAACCTTATGGGATGAATTTCGAAAGATACTAAAATACGTATTTATTTAATTGTATTGAAGAACATTAATACCAAGTTTTAAATAATTTTGATAAATACATATTTTTCTAGTTGTATTATAATTTACTAGCGACTCATTCTCGTTTCGCTTGGGTTCGTCCCTAGCTTGCTTTCCAATACAAACTTTCATCACCGTTTTCACCCCCTTAAAGGTTGATTTCCGAAATTAAATAATAGTATCCTATGTCCTTCCCATGGTCCGAAACTATCTTTTTACCAAATTTCATCAAAATCGGTTCAGTAGATCCAGAGAGCCTATATCACTTTCCAGCCTTCCAACACCACACAAAAAATCACGCTAATCCGTCATTCTTTTTCGACTTAAAAGAAGGGCAAACAAACACACTTTCATATTTATAATATTAGTATGGATGTATATTATATGTAAGTACTATGTTATCTATGTAGTCTCACTAATGCGAGTAAAACATTTATTGTCTCAAGATTCAATTCATAATTAATATAGAATAGTAGATCAATAAACGAGTTTACTTAGTAATATAGGTTATAAAGATTTGTAGGACACAGATATTGATTGAGAACCTAAAGTGGTACCAATATAAATAATTTAGTTATAATGCCATAGGTCCAAGCAATTTTTTCATGTTACATAAAAAAAATTTAAAATTTCCAAAAGTGGATAAGTGTGGACTGTCGAGTCCACTCATCTGGCATCTTACTTATCACTCATCTCCACTGAACAGGCTACTAGTTGATGAATTTGCTTTAGATTTAGAAAAGGTTTTACCAAATTTTTGTATCCACTTTCATTTGACATTTTTATTTTTCTGAATAACAAGATTTTATAATTTCCTTACTGCTTAAACTTATTTATTATAAGCCATTCTCAAATTGCAAACAAGTGTACCAAAGATGACTTAAAATCAGACACACGTCTTACGTCGATTAAGTTTTCATCAGACTAATTTTGGCGTGAAAATTTTTTTTTTTAATTATTATCCTTGATTTTTTTTCATTTACACAAAACGACCCTTTTTATGATTTTTTTATTAAACAATAATCAAGAACATTGACCACGAACATTAAAAAATAATAAGACATTTTCTAAGATAACAAACACTCTCCAACAAAAACTTCGTGATTTGAAATCGATCAAAAGTCCATGAGATGATTAATATTTATTGAATTATTCAAACTACTAGTATCTATTGCTCATTCCTTATAATAAATCTCGCGTTCGTTTTATCAAACACTTAATTAAATGACTTTGGTTCAAGGTTTTATTTTTCATCGCTATATCAGACGCAGTGAGGTCATAGTGTCATAATGTCAAGTGTCTACACTCTATGACTCAATACATACCGGCGGGTTCATACATAAGTGTATTAAAATCTTAGATTGGGAACATTAGGTCTACTTTAGTCTATGCGTAATCCAGATAATTGATTTATTATTTCGCTTTCGGAGACAATAAGAAACGATGCAAGGAACTTAATATACAATATGGGTATGGGATGTGCCAGGAAAATATAAACGTAATATATATTTTTTACATAATAATTTCACAAAAAAAACTCCATAAAAATCCCCCACAAAAAATTATAAAAATTGTGTCATTAAATTGATATTTTTCAATATATTTTTTATATTATAAATGTCATTTTTAATATACGAGTAATAATATGAATTTCTATTAATATTAAATATGTATAGATATATAATATATCAATATTCGATTTTACTATTCAAAATGAATAATGCCACAATATATTTTATTTAGGCAATGAAGGTCATAGCGTGGACTGTCTACAATCTACATGCGTGTAGTGTAGTTATACCTAAACGATGTCATGCGTATTGTGTAAACAGTAAACACTAAACAGTGCGATGGTGTTTAACAATGTACAATATATAATTAAAAACCGTGATTTTTTTCTATGACTATACTATATTTTTTTCTATGGTTATAAGTTTGACGTGTCTGTCTGTCTGTGGCATCCGCTCCGGACCGAAAAAATCGTAGATAGGTAATAAATAATAATTTGGAGTGTTCCCCCAACGCGACGTATTTTTTTTAGAATTATTAATACATACTTAGGTACTTTAAGATTGAGTTTTTTTTATT